TGAATGATTATTGTGGTTAAGTCATTTAGTGTAACTGGGGAGAAGGAGGTGAAAGACTCGGAGCACTGGGGGACCTCCCCTCCTGGGGGGGGGGGGGGGGGGGAGGGCTGGTGGAATGCTGGATCTCAGATTCAACACCTTGTTTTCAAAAAAGTGGAGAAATCTGTTACAGTCATCAGCTGAAGATAGCTGAGCCTGCTGCGGAGGAGAAGACACGATGCTGGAGATGGTATCAAACAAAACCTTAGGATTATTCTTATTTTGACATTTGAGGTTGCTGAAGAAAGAAGACCTGGCATTTTCTACAGCTTCGTTGTATGACTCGAGAAGTTCTTTAAAATATTCACGATGAACAACCAGACATGTCCTCTTCCACCGTCGTTCCGCTTTTCTATAGGAGCGTCTAAGATCAAGAATCTGGTTGTTCAGCCAAGGTGAACTAGAGGCACTGGAACTGCGGCTGGTTTTGTAAGGGGCGACCTGATCTATAATTTTGAGGCAGTGATCATTAAATGAGTTGGTAAGGAGCTCTACGTCATCAGAGGAAGGAGGTACAAAGTCAAAGAGGGAGGAGAAATTTAAAATGGTAGAACTGTTGGTAATATGTCGTTGCTTAGCAGAGACTGGTAAGAGATTCAGAATTTAAGTTGATATGAAAAGAAACTGACGCAGTGCGAGGCCGCTCCGGAGCATCATCCTTATGCACCAGTTGGTGCTGGCTTTAAACTTTGTGGTCGGTATGTTTAACTCCTTTGCAATGTTCAGGGCTTTGAGCTGGATGATGGCTCTGGTAATGGGCAGACCTTCATTACGTTTCTCAGTAACAAACTCACACACCCGCCTGTCACCTTCTTGGAAGCGGCCGCGTTGTGGACCACGAAAAGCTTTTCTCTTGCTGTTAGCATTTTTCAGACGGTCTTTCTGGATGCGCCATCTTCGGACGTTACACTCCGTAACGCCGTATTTTCTGGCTGCCTGGCAGTTGTTAGTTGCTTCTGCTGCGTTGACAACCATCATTTTGAAGTTTGCGTCGTAACTCTGCCGCAGCTGTTGGTTAACTTGCCTAGTTTTAGATCCGCTTAACTCCAGATTCCTCCCCGCCATTTTTCTTCTTTAGTTCAATGACCTCACCACAACCTCTGCTGTTGCAGTTGGGTACTGACCCCAGACACCAGACAAGTATGTGTGAATTATAAAGATATGACATGTATATGTAAATGCTTAGTCGGTGATTAAAAGACGACCCCCCTTTTTGCATAATTGTTAATAAAAAAAACCTTGTCCTATATTCGTCTAAATACGGTACTTTAGACTTTACCTAGGGGTGAGGCAGGCTGTCCTTTGAGCCCCCTCCTCTTCTCATTGGCCACTGAGCCACTTGATATTGCGGTTCGTGGCAGTGGTGAAATACAGGGCATCCTTAGAGGCGGTCTCGAGCATAAGGTCTCTATATGCTGACGACTTGGTATTATATATTTCCGATCCACTCAGGTCTCTTCCAGAGGTACTTCGGATTTTGGACAACTTTAGTACGTTCTCCGGCTATAAACTTAACTTGAATAAGAGCAAACTGTTTCCGATTAATAGAGAGGCCATCTGTCTCAATTATGGAAGTTTTACCTTGAAGGTTGTTACTAACCAGTTGAAATACCTTGGTGTGTGTCACTAGGCATTTTTGTGACTTGTTCAAGAGTAACTTTCTTCCACTATTTGATCAAGCGAAGCAACTGCCATCTAAATGGTCCCCACTAGTACTGTCTCTTATTGGCAGAATAAAATCTGTGAAAATTATGCTTCTCCCCAAAATTTTTTTATCTCCAGTGTCTTCCTATTTTTATCCCTCAATCTTTTTTAAATCTCTAGACTCCTTAAAACGGGTGTACACTGTGCGACTTTTTCATTTTTTGAGCCGATTTTCCACTCGTAAGAGAATCCACAAGATCGGGGCGAGTTTTGCACTGAGCGTAGTAGAGTATACAGGGGGGTACGAGAGGCGATTAACACCACGTGACCAGCTACCGATCAGCAATCGTGAGCTCGCACGGACTTCTGGCGTGTTTGATATTTTGCTCGTCCCTCGTGAGGGTATCGCACTGTTGAAGCTGCGCTGCGAGCAGCTGTGACCCAAAATGTATCAGAACCGCTCACGGCGCATGCTCAATCCTGCATCAACACCGCTCGCCCGCTATTTCCCTAATAACACACGTAGTTCGTTTTTATTTCTACACATTTTTTTATCACAAAGATTGTCAAGAAAGCGTGTTTGTCGTGTTCATGTCAAACTAAACTGATCACAAGACACAGATTTACTTTCTTTATTTCGTTTTCCTCATCCAGCCCCCATAAATTCCTGTGTGTCCTCCTGCAGCACTCCTGAAGGAAAACAGGCAAGACAAAAAAGTCTGTCGTGTTGTGTAAAAACTGCTATTTTTAGCATATTTTTAGGTCCGATGTGTTGCTACCAGACGTACAGTGTGAGCAGTCAGGTCGCATCCGAGAACTGGGTCGTACAGTGTGAGCACATGGCTCGTGAGATCTGCCCTGCGAGGAAGTCGTACAGTTTGAGCTGAAGCTGAGTGTTACGAGTGAAAAAGTCACACAGTGTCCGCCCAGCTTTAATCCTCTCTTTTATCTGGAATGGCAAACATCCTAGACTGAGAAAGGCCTTCCTCCAGCGGCCTAAGTGGGGGGGTGGGGGTGGGGTGGGGGGGGGATGGCCTTACCCAATTTCCAGCACTACTACTGGGCTGCGAACATTAGGGGTATGCTGCACTGGAGGCACTTTTATCTTGAATCTTCATCTCCAATCTGGGTCACCATGGAGGCCCACACAGTTGGTGCAACAGTCTCTCTTTCTGCACTCCTAGGTGCGCCACTTCCACTTTCCTGTTCAATTACTTCTGGGAGCCCAGTGGTTAAGCAGTCCCTGAAAATCTGGTCTCAATTCAGAAAAACTCTGGGTCTTCAGGCTTTTTCACTTTTAAGTCCAATTGCAGCTAACCACTTGTTCTCTCCGTCAATGGCTGATGCTGCCTTTCTTTTTTGGCATAAAAAAGGTCTAAAACATTTCACAGACTTATATTCTGATGATCTCTTTTCTAGTTTTGCCCAGCTGACAACAAAATTTGGGATCGCGTCCACTCAATTTTTCAGGTTCTTTCAGGTCAGGTATTTCGTGCAGAGTATGACTCCCCAATTTCCAAATAAACCCCTGAGAACTCATTGGATGAGTTTTTATTGGTATACCCCACAGTGGGAGGAGTAATGTCTAAGCTTTATAACACTATCACTAAACCATGTTGTCCTTCATTAGTGGCTATTAAAACTGCCTGGGAGCAGGACCTCAATTTTAAAATCTCAGATGAGGTGTGGGCATCTATACTGGGCCAGGTGCACTCCTCATCTACGTGTGCTTGGCATGCACTAGTGCAATTTAAGGTGGCCCACCATGTGCACCTGTCTAAGGCCAAGTTGGCACGTCTATACCCAAACATAGACCTAACTTGCGAAAAATGTAGGGGTGCTCCTGGCTCTTTACTACATATGTATTGGTCGTGCCCCTCCCTGGCTAACTTTTGGAGATCAGTTTTCGGTACAATCTCTGAAGTTCTGCAGTGTCAGGTGGAGCCAAACCCTGTCTCTGCTATATTTGGTGTCACCCCAGATCTGACCTTACCACATTCCAAACTAAGAGTCCTATCCTTTTTGACCTTACTGGCCAGAAGAGCTGTTTTGCTGAAGTGGAAGGACTCTTTTCCTCCCTCTCATGCCCACTGGATAAGAGATACTATGTTATGCATGGATCTTGAAAAAATCAGATACACCGTCCATGGTTCTGTAAACAAATTCTATAAAGTTTGGCAAACATTTTGACATTCATCGAGAAATCCACAACTATTGTTTCTGAGTAGCCCCCCCCCCCCCCCCCCCCCTCTTAATTCATTTATTTTTCTTTTTTTTCCCTCTCTTCCTTTCCTGTTCAGGGTTGGCAGTCTGGGGTTTGTTCTTGGGGCAACACTTGAGAAAATTCACATTGTTTTGAAATGTACTTGTCAAGTCTATTTCTCTAAGATAAAAAAGACATGTATAAAAAAAAAGATTAACATCAGCCAACACCGATATTGGTGCCGATACGTCATTTATCTCTAATGTAAAGCTGTCTTTATAGCCTTAGAATGAGTTGCTTTGTGATGTTTGTGGCTGGTTTAAGATTGCAACAATCCATTTTGGTCTCAGCTGCATTCAGACTAGTTAATGGTTTGCTCTAGGCCTGAAACAAATCATCGATTGATTCAAATGGTTCGATTCAATAAATTCTACTGATTATATGTGAATATATTTAGACTTGTTATTTTGACTATGATGAGGTTAATACAAACCTAAAATGTGAGTGAAATCTAAGTCACACTGTGTTCCATAAAATATTTAACTATAAATATCAGCTGGGAAGGAGGGAACTATATATTATTGAGCCTTTTGTAATTTAGCTGTTTTCTTTTCAAATTTTTAGCAGCGGGCTACAGTCTGTTTTCACTTGAAACGTCATCAAATAGAATATTCAATTAATCGATGGAGGATTCAATAGAATGTTCAAATAAAATGTTGGATAGCTGCAGAACCTAGTTGCTCATAAGCCCGATGCTCCAGCTGATGTCATCGGCTTTGAAACAAAGGAATCCTTCACTTTAGAAAAAGAAAATGTGGCTCGACTGCATGCTGAAAAACGAGTCAGACCTAGAATTTAGAGTTTAAAGTGTTTTAACTAATTGGTGGAAATGTTTTGACCAAAACGCGCAACTGTGGGTTTTCTTTTTGTTGTAACTCTTTTTACTCTTACTCTTCTACCTGTCAGCGATTGAGGACTGTGTTTGTAACTGGATCAGATAGCGTAAGGGTGTAGAACTGATTTAATATTCATCCAGCCTATTTGTTTTGTCTCTTTCATTTGTAGAGGTAACCAGGATATTAATCACATTGGTAACTTCTCTTTCTTTCCACAGCCAGGTTGGGCCGGTTTTTACATGGTTTTGAAGGAAACCTCTTCTGACCCCCGTATTCACAGGTACGCGTCACCCACTGTCAGATAAAGACAATTTTTACAGAGAAAAATGTCTTACTAGAGTTTTTGCTTTAATCTGGAAAACTTTAAATTTACAGGCTTTTCTGAGCAAAAATGTGTAGCTTTGTATAAAAAGTACATCGTATACAATGTTTGTCACTGCCAGTTTTTTTTTCATTAAAAGCAACAAAACTGCATCAAATTACTGTATAGCAACAAGTCAGGATAATAATAATAATATTAAAATCACATAGTCGAACAGAAAAAATCAAGGGCATTAAGTCAAACATGGGTAACAAAAAGAATAATAAACTCAACACTAGTGATGCACTTATATGAAAATTTTGGGCCAATACCGATATCCGATATTTACTATCACTGTTATGGCCGATAACCGATATTTGCCGATATCGATATACTGACATTAATGCTTTTAAAATCAGCAGATTTTGTATAGAATGAAAATTATTAAAGCTGAATTTACGTTATGTACACACAACACACACATTTGTGCTTCTGAGATGACTAAACAAATACACATCACTCCCCTCACCCTCTGAAACAGGTAAACAAATGGTGACAAGGTGGAAACAATATTGGTTGATAATATCAGCCCGTTTGTTTTAATCGGACCGATGCCGAAGGATCACCTTAATTTTCCAGTTACATTTTGGAACAGAAAGAAACATCTGGTTGTTTGATCTGTGTACTCTGGGTTTAGAGGGCTATGGCAGAAGATAAATGATAACCTGCACTTCTGAGTCTACAAGTACACTACAGCCCTTCATTCACCCATTCACACATTAGCCACGTTTAGATGCGCACAATTAATTGGATTGAACGCCAAATCAAATAAAAAATTCTGCATGTAAACATGTCAATCAGAATGTTCTGATCTGATTGGAAGGAAATTTCAATCCGATTGAGAGAGGTGGTTTTGTCCGATCCTCATTTCGTCCGATCCTCATTCCGATTGACGTGCATGTACACAGCTATCCGGATTGTTGCAGTAAAATAATGCCCACTGTCATTTGGACTGCCTGACTCAAAAAATGACGGCCTAATAAACAAGCACCAACTTTTAAATATGATGGCAAGCCGTCCCCGTTTCTATAATATCTAATACAGAAGTTGTATTTTGTGGAAGTAAAATAAAAATCTGATTATTGCACAAATCATTTGACAAACATGTTCAAGTCTGTACTGGAAACGCGCAGATTCTTTTCGGGTTTGCAGCACGGATCCCCGTTTCTGTGACCGCAGCAGCTGTTTCTGCAGCATGTGGATGGAGACGTGCTCGTAAAGAAGATGGGGGTGACATCGGTTAAACTGACCTGGTTTAAGTTTAAGGAGGCTGATGTTGAGGAGAAAAACATCCTCCGTTAAATGTTATGGCCAACTATCTGTAAAAACACGTTAATGCAGATGAGATGAGATGTGGTTCTTTGATGAACACAGGCTTCCAAACATCTCCTGTTATTTAGTTTGAACCAAGTCTTCTCAACAGTTTCAGCTTATTGTCACATTTTATGAATAATAACCCACAACAGAGCTCAGTAATAAAACATGAGTCAGCAAAGCATAAATCTGCAGTTATTCACTCAAGAAGACGTAAGTTCTATGAGCAAAAAAAAACATTAAAGAGCAAGTAACGTCTAAATTAACTTTTTTTTGCTGATGAACTGTATAAATGAGTGTCTAATAGTGTTTTAAATGTGTGTATTCATTATTTTAGCATTTTGGTGCATTTTCTTAAAAAATTAAAAATTCTGCCTAAATACCACAGTATAGCTCCACCTTCAGCTTAAAACATAGAATTTGACTCATTTTGAATAAATTTTAGCCAATGGCTAAAGAGTAAGATACTACGTAATCCAGTAGAGTACTACGTAGCAGCTCTGTGTCAACGTTATAAAAGCATCGGGAGTCTCGGCCACGCCTTGTGGCGAGTTGGGAGTTGGATTTGCATGAGAGTGTAGGAGGCTAGCCGTAGTTCAGCATTAGCATATAGCATTAGCATATCCTAGTCTTTAGCATAGCTTTTAGTGTTATACATACTTATTTAGTGTTAGCTTGGCTGTTGGATATTGTAGTTTAGTTGGTGTTTGGCTGTTAGTGTAATTAGGAAAGTAGTTCGGGTTTAGTGCTCCATATCGTGTTAGCATGGTGAGAAGGTGTAGTGTAGTATGGTTGCGGAGCTCTGTCGGGTTGCACTCCTTTCCGCTGGACTTAGAAATTAGGCGCCAGTGGTTGCGTGTCTGGAAAAGATTCAGCTCCCGCCTGGTGCTGTAGTTTGCAACCAGCATTTTACCCGCGATTCTGCACGTCTCCGTTCCAAGAGGGAGGCTGTGCCCACCGTGGCTCTTCCGCGATTTAGATGCAGCCCACCGACTCTGCTCCCCCACCATGACGGGCTACAGTCTGAGGTGAGTAAGCTAAATAAAAGTTTTAACATCTTCTAAAGACAATTTCCTACCTAAATGCAAAGTTTGAGAGACGTGGTTCACTCCATTTAGCTAATATCAGCCTGCACTGCCTTCGGGCTATTTTGTCAAGTTCACAAAATGTGGAACGGGATGTAAGGTTAGAATCAGCGGCGAATCGGAACATATCTCGAAGCCCTGGCCGACAAAACGGTCCACATGACTATTTCTGTCAGGCTCGGAGAAAATTCGGGTTGTTTTTGTGTCAGTCGGTAATTCAGCAACAGTGACTCTAAACTGACGCAGCACTAGTTGACAGACAGCATTACAGCGTGAAATCTAGCACAGCGTGACCCGGTTCCGTGAGGAATTCTGTTCAGGAGGTCGCATTTCAGGGTCTCCACATCATATGTGACTGACTTTTACTTTATAATAACATCACACACTAGGAATGTTATAAAGCGCCTATATGGGACAGTTTCTTTTGTATTTTATCTGACTTTATAAACATCAATGTGCTTCTATTTTTTTTCAGGCTAAATCTACCCAAGACACTGGCTGTCAGACTGATTTAGTAATCTGCAAGAATGCACTTGTCCAGGCTGACGTGGTGTTACCCGTAGCAAAGGTGAATTATTTTTAATAATCTTCTATGTAAACATTTTATTACCTTCTAGTTTTAATTTGTTTTACAGATTGTTACAAGTGATTTTATGCTCTTTTAAACATTTATAAATGTGCTGCTTCTTTGTTTTTATAGAGCTCACAGCCTCAGTGTCTTGTGACACAGGGACCATGACAGAAATTCATTATCCAGAAGGTCCCAGAGCATCCACACCTCCTGAAAAGACCACGGTGTGAGGTGTCTGCTGTTGATTCCAGCTTCCACCTCAGTGACAGTGCAAGCTCAGTGAACTGTTCAAGGTAAAAAAAAATTAAAACATTTCTGAATTTTTAAGATATTAACAATTAAATACGTATGTGATTACATCATGAAGGAGGCTACTGATTCTGGCCCTGTGACACTTGGTGGTCACCACCAGGTGGTGACGTGTGAGCTGATTCACCTGGTAAATAACTTTTAAATTAAATATTTTGTTTTTGCTATCAAAAGTAAATTAACTAATAACCTGCATTACTGCAGGACACTCAGCAAAATATGGACTCTACACCATGAGGCAGGCACACGTTAATAACTCTATAAGAGCACATAAGGTAAGCAACACCACATATTATTTTTATTACTGTACACTGTCCTGGATTTGTTTTCTTTCTGCATCTCATCATTAGCCTGGCTGATCACCTGATAACTCCTGTCATCTGGTTATGACAGCATGAGGATGTCCTCACACACCTGTAACCTATCAGCTCATCTGGCAGAATAGAGAGAGAAGAGACAACACCACATCTCCTGTTCCTGGAAAGCCTTCAGCCATCCTTCGATGACTGAGAACCTCCATCAGCTCTGTCTCCTGTCTGCCTACAATTATTATAATAAATATTGTGTTTGACAAGTTTTTTGTGCTGCCAAATATCTCATTTTGATTCCAGTTTTGATATTTTAATGGATATTTATAAATTACATTAATTGAATTATCACATTGTCGCATGTTTAACTAGCTCTATTGTGATGAACTAAACTAGCACCTCACTGTTAAAAGCTCGTTTTAATTTCAAGCATGTTTAAGTATTTATGGACATGAACAAAAACAGGAAATATATAAATTGAGATTTATTTAATTAATATAACAAATAAGGGGGAAAGAGTCATTGAAAGGCACATTCTTCTGGAAGTTCCTGATCCCGACGACATCAGCAGGAGACCAGCTGCAGACACCAGAGGATCACCTGCAACCAAGAGCAGCTAGTATCAGTAAATAAATAATGAAATCAGGGCAGTTTTAATGGGCTGAACACATTACAGAATAATTTTCTCATGGTATATTTTCATAACTTTATGCAGCAGACTAGCTTGAGCCCAGATCTCCTGGAGAGCTGCTATCCAGCACGTTTCAGTGGATTTTCCTGCTTTAACAGGTTAGATAAGCTGTTAAGCAGCTCAGCTGTTTGTTGCTGATTAAAACCAGGTGTGTTGATGCAGATAAATCTCTAAAACATGCTGAATACTAGCTTTTTAGGGCCATGGAGACAAACCCTGCAGCTAATCCAATGCTATGGCTAACGGCTACTTACGTTCAGAGATGGGTCTGTTGGGTCGGTTCCAGTAATTTCAGGCAACTCACAAGCTCAAAACAATAAGGCTCATGTCCGCTTGTCTCCTCCAAATAGACTTGGTCCCTTTCTTCTCGAGTGTCTGGGTAAGGAGGGGGAGAAACGTCCTCCACTTCTAATGACTGCTCAGAGTGAAGGGAGCTAGCTTCGTCTAGTTAGCCGTCTCTTCGTCACTGCCACGGCTCCGCCCTCTCGGTCCTCCAGGCAACGCCTACTAATGTTGCAGTTTTCAAAATTGATACGTGGGTGGGGTAAGACTCTGAGGCACACTTGACATGCACTTTAAATAGAAAAAATGAACCAGGAAAGCAGCAATTGTTTTTTCAGTTTTTACAGTTTTCATTTCGCTACATGATATTAGTTTACATTTTTTTTCCGGGAAAGACAACTCTGCACTTGCTCAACCTATTTAATCTGATTAATACTTGGTTGTTGCAGTCACTGCCGCTACAGGCCACTAGATGGCCTCAGCAGCACCACCAACAGCTCCCATCTACAGGCGTTCCGTAGTTTTGACCAGTTGATCCTCATTTAGGAATCACCTCACCCTGTTAAATGAGGTGAACCTAGGATTGGATGGGGGAAGGCTCTGAGAAGTGGTGACACAGAGGTGTCCTCACTACTCTTTTCTCCCCCTTCACTGTTATCTTATTTGAGGCTTGAATACACTCGGTTAGGTTATTGAGAACCTCATAGTAAATTTGTGTGTCTGAGCCCTGGTAAAAGGGCTGCTCAGCTTTTCGTCTGGAGTTTGGTTTGGGATTATATCTCCTCGGTTGAGTTCTATTATACCGGTCCTTTGATCCGGCGCTTTCAGTTCTTTGATTAATTATTATTCATTGTTACTTTTGTTTTGTTTGTATACTTTTGTTCCTTTTCCTCCTTCCACCGGGAGCTAGAGGACAATCAGGAAAGCTCTTAATAAAAATCTCCTCCAACGAACACTCTGGGTTTATGTTCATTGTTTTAACACACATCATTACTCCCTCAATCCCACATCTCCTAGCGAGCCGGGGGACGTAATATTGGTGCATAGAAACTCACGGCGTGATTGGATCATTTCAGTTAGTGTCCATGTAAACAGATTTGGGATTTCCAATCAACCAAGATTTGAATGGGGTTGGGGAAATTTGGAGCATGTAAACGTGGCTACTGTTAGTGGTATGAGTGTCCACACTGAGACTGAGAAATTTTGGGTTCAAATCCATGGTCGGGTCAAACCAAAGACTTTAAAAATGTGACCCGATGCCTCTCTGCTCGACACTCAGCATTAAGGTGTTTGATTGGGGGATTAAACCAACAAATGGTGCCAGAGCTCGGTCGTGTCTGCAGCTCACCACTTCCCCAGGGGATGGGTCGATTGCGGAGAACAAAATTCAAACACCTGTTTGGGACACTCTGACAGAAGCAAAGAAAAAGGAGACAGACCATTAAAGTGGAGTTCACATACAAACATGTAGTACTTGTTCTTTTTTAAATGCAGTGGGTCGTGCTGAGTTTCACATGCAGTCTGGATGTGAGAATAGACCTTAAGCTATTATTGCCTGCATTAGCCGCTGAAAGAAGACATATGGAGAAACGGTCAGGTCAGAAAGTGCCACACAGACTTGGGGAATGTTAACATTCATGGACTCGCCCACCTTGGCTGGTGATTTAGCAGCCAGGAGAATGCAGAGCACGTCTTGGCTTGGAGAAGCTAACCATTAGCAACAGCAACACCACAACATGGCGAAACACATTCAGGCTGGTGTTATTGGTGGAGATGAAGCATCAACAATGCATTCTTTACCCAAAAAGAAGAGCAAATGAATGAAGCGTAAGAGTCTTGTTGCTGGTAGCAGAGTCAAGATGTTTGTAAATCATGAATATTAATGAGTAATTACCCCAAATCTTGCTGTCTCACCCCAGTTAGCAACAGAGTTTTTATTCCTTCAGAAAACGACTCAGAAGAAATCAATTCATACTGGAGCACACAGAAAATGTATTGGAATAACGAGTGAATGAGAGCTTTACAGGCAAATACTTTTCACTCCATTGTTGTCTCATTGAACTTTTTTATAGCACAGATCTGAAAGCTCAACTTCTGTGACATGACTCTTTATTAACATCTTTCACGTTTCTACAGTGTAAATGGAACACAAGAATCGGCTTAAAGAAATCTTCATCACAGTCCTGGTGGCAGTGACAGTCTGCATCATCGTTCTCCAGTTTGAGAGATGGCCAGGACATGCGAGTTTTCCTGCATACAGAGAAATGCAGGCGCCTTCATCGGCTGTCACGACACCTGAGCCACATTGGGAGGATCCGGGGCCTTATCACGTAGCCTATCCGCGGAACTACAAATTCACCATGGATGACACCCCAACATGTAAGAGCACCACTCCATTCCTGGTTATGATGGTTCCCACTGCTCCCAGTGAAGCTATGGCCCGAGATACCATCCGGAAGACATGGGGAAGTGAAAAAATGGTCCTCGGTCAACTGGTTGAGACTGTCTTCATATTGGGCCTGCCTCAAGGAGGCGATGCCTATCAGCTGCAGGAGAGCCTCAAACGGGAGAACGAGCAGCATCGTGACATCATACAGAGCAGTTTCCTGGACAGCTATAACAATTTAACCATCAAGACTATGGTCATGCTGGAGTGGCTGTCCAAAAACTGTGCAAAATCTTCCTTTGCTTTAAAAATTGACTCGGATATGTTGCTACATGTGAAAAATGTGGTTAAACTGTTACTTGACCCTAGCACAGCTAAACAGCACTATATGACAGGTTTGGTGTGGTGGCACAGCCCAGTTTTAAGAAACCCCTTTAATAAGTTTTACATGCCGAGCAGCGTGATTCCTGAGCCCGAGTATCCACCGTATCCTCTGGGAATGGCTTACATCATGTCCCTGGATCTCCCTAAAAAGATCCTGGATGTCTCTCCTCAAATTAAACCCATCTACATTGAAGATGCCTACCTAGGCATGTGCCTGAAGCTTTTGGGTATCTCCCCCACTGACCCTCCTGAGACATCAATGTTTTTGGTCACACCTCAGCATCCTCTAAGCAGCTGCAGTCTTTCTCAAGTGATCGCCATGACAACAACGGAAACATCACAAATCAACTGGTACTGGCTTAGAATCCAAAAAGGGGTTCAGTGCCAGAATTAGGTTTTATTCAATGTTTGTTGGTGGGGTGAAGCTTTGTTTTTGGACTACTGAAGAAAAGTGTTGCTGCTATGTTGAAATATAAGCCCCAGTCTGACAGAATGGAACCGTCGATACGGTCTCTAAACCTAGAATGTGGCCTAATCACCAAAAACCTGCTTCAGTGTAACTTTGCTCAGGAATAAACCCATGATTACACTACGGAAGGTGTTATACACTAGAACATAGGGATGCACCGATACCGATACTGGCATCTGTATCGGCTCCGATACGATGCCAATAACCGTATTGGTATCGGTAAAAGTTAACAGATACCAGGAACCGATACCAATGCAGTTGCTTGAAAATGGCTTCACTGTAACTTGTCATTTCTGTTAACCTAATATTTTAGGTTTGTGATGATTTCCTTTCATATTTTACTTATCTACCTCAGTCTTTTCCTGTGCAGAGAAGAAAATAAAATCTGTATTCCAAATCCTTGCCTTTTTTTTGTATGGTAGAGGTATCGGTATTGGTAATCGGTATCAGCAAGTACTCAGATCCAAGTATCGGTATCGTATCGGTTTGGTAAAAAGTGGTATCGTTGCATCCCTACTGGAATAACAGCAGGGGACATTTTTACACCTAACGGGGATCCCATCCTTAGTAGACGTTACCAAGACCATCCACAGTCTGGAACGCATTTATCCTGTAGTGGTCTTCATTCAGTGTGAAGGGGACCAACCGATGTGGAATGACTTTGCCTTAGTTTTCAACACACTGGAACCACGTTTTTGACGGGCTAAATAATCCATCGATTGTGGAACATTTAGTCTGGAATATGTGATGTATGGTTTTAATTTATGGTGAACATGCTTTTAGGGTGTCCTTTTTATTCAAGCAAATAACCAAAGAACACCTAATGTCAACAAATTAAAGCTACGTCATGTTTCGTGAGCCTGATGTTTGTAAAATACTGTAAAAAAGTTCTTCAGGAGTTCCACGGAGGGCGTATGACTCGATTGGTGGCTGTGTGTGGTGAGCATTCCTTCCGGGCTGAATTTATTAATGTTGTAACATATTGTATAAATATGATTAGGTAATAAAAGGATGAATGTGAGTAAACAGTGTTGTGTAACGCCAGCACTAACATGTTTGATGCTTCTGTTCAGTTTACATATTTCTAATGTAGGCTTATCTTAAGGTGCATTTTCTGTTGACAAAATAAAGTTGAGTTTAGAGTTAAAGAATGTTTCTTGTTTTAGGAAACCTTGTAAATGCAACCTAACTGATGCTTTGCTTTTGTTGTTAAATGCTCCGTTTGTTTGGTACAATTGTAGTGTGACGGTTTCACCAGCAGGGGGTGGAAGAACATCATTGAAAAAACATTTCTGACATTGATTAAACAGTGAATTCATTTCCCAACCCAGACATGGATGCATTCAGTTTCTGATCTGTGATCTAATATTTACTGTTCTAATCCAGGCTTTCAAAGCAAATTCCTCATTTACCACAGCATAGAGAAGCGTGATGGCTGACGTCTGTTCAGCTGCAGGTTTGTCATCTGATCTAACGTGTACTAAAATGTCACACTTCTACATTACCCTAACTCTTGGATCTGTGAACAAAGGTTAGTGAAATTATCTGGAAAAAGTAAACACACATTTAAATTTGCTGTAATTATCGAATCAACTCCAGCGGATCCATCACAGCGACTATTTAACAGATAGTTTAAGTTTCTAATATCTAAGCATTAATCATTCAGCTTAGCCGCTTATGTTTACTTTTACTGGAGCATTTCCATGCTACCCATGCCTCTTCCCCTCAAACTGTGTGTGTGTGTGTGTGTGTCAGTAGGCCCGTTTATTGTCTCACTAACCCTCGCTGAGACTTTGCAGACTTTCCAATTCATACACACGACAGAGGAAATAGCTCTTATTCTTGTCCCCCTTTGAAGCTTGCTGACAGGATTACACTGGTATATTAGAATCTGACTATATATATATTGTCAGTTTTTGTATGTCTGTATATTTTGGAATGAGGTATTTGTCTTTTTTCTAGTTGGATACATAAAAACTTTCTGTAGTTTGGCAATTTTCAAGTGTTTTTTTTTTAGCTAAAGTTAACAAGCCTGTTCAACAAAGTGTCCTCTACAATAAAATTAGAGTATTTAAAAAATATTTTACTTTCTCTTTGATTATAACTGACCTTCAGTCATCTGAACCATAACTCATAAGCTTTTCAAAGCGGAGGATGAGAACAGACCAGGTGTTGCAGAGATTTAAGTCCCTCCTGTCCCTCCTGCAGACTTGCTGTTCTCTCTGTCACCCTGACAAAACACACTGCTCTGCAGGGTCGTAAACTTTAGTTGGCCCTGTTTCAAACAGGGGCAGACACACACACACACATGCACTTTGCCTCACCTTAAAGCTGTGGCTCCCAAACCTTTTATAGCTGCTGACCCTCAAAGTGACAAAAACAAGGGATTTATGTTGCATTTAGAACCAACTATTAAAGTGTTGACCATGACTGGTTTTATTTGCACATCCAAACCAAAGAAGAACATCTTAGTCACACTCCAGAACAAAACAAATATTAAACTTTATGCTACCAGTTAGGCTACAGAATCAATGAAAGGTTAAACACCAGATATTAAAATTTTTTGGTAAAGAAGCAATAAAGCGTACAGGCCCTCGGCCACCTGCAACCTTGATCCTGGATAATGAGACTAAACAGGCTTATCTGACTACATTAATTGTGATGCTCAAACTGAATTAAGGTTTCTCTCTGTCACACACAAAAACAAAACACTGTGAAAGTGAAAGTAAACCAGACAGCCTGTTCTGATTTATAAGTAGCAGACAGCTGGAGGGTAGAGTTCAAGCTCTGGGTCTCCTGCTATCTCTCTCCATTCACCAGCCCATAAATAAACACACACACACACACACACACACACACACACACACACACACACACACACACACACACACACACACACACACACACACCGGGAAGACTGCGATGAAGAGTGGAGAGAAAAAGAAGAGATGGTGAATGTTGATGGAGGAGCAGCCAACTGAAAGTAGACGGGTGTGAAAGATGGAAATTCAGATTTCCTACCACTCTAGTTACATTTTAAGATGGTCGAGCGTGAAGCTAGATTATAATATAAAGGGCCATTCCCATCTGTACCGGGTCGGCCCGGGCCGGGTAGCGTAGGTTGTTTACATATCTGGGTGGCCTGGTATTTTTCCGGGCCAACCAAGGCTCATTCTCAGCCCTCTTCTCGAGGGGGTCTGCTTCAGGCCGACCAGGGCCAACACACCCACTGCTGACAGCAAATTCACACCTTCCATTAGAGCAAGCCTCTGATTGGTGGGTAGAATCAGCCCACATGGGCTTAAGGCAAGGATGTGTGGAATCAACCGGGCCAGGCTGGGGCCGACTGGGGCTACCCGGCCCGGGCCGACCCGGTACAGATGGGAATGGCCCATTAATGCACCCTCCTCCTCAGCAAAATTTAAAGGCCATTGTTAAAACTGAAAAACACCATATCCATCCATCCATCTTCTTGCTTTTATCCACTCGGGTCACGGCGTGGCGGCAGCCTAAGCAGGAAGGCCCAGACTTCCCTCTCCTCAGCCACTTGGGCCAGCTCCTCCAGGGGAATCCCAAGGTGTTCCCTGGCTAGCCATGAGACATAGACCCTCCAGAGTGTCCATGGTCTTCCTTTAGGTCTCCTTCTGGTTGGATGTGCACAGATACTGCACCATGGAGGCGTCCAAGAGGCATCTAAATGCCCGAGCCACCCCAACTTGCTCCTCTTGATGTGGAGGAGCAGCAGATCTACTTTGAGCTCCTCTCAAATGACCGAGCTACTAGGGGAGAGCCCAGACACTCTGCAGAGAAAACTCCTTTTGGCCGCTTCAATGTACGATCTTTTGGTCACTACCCAAAGCTCATGACCATAGATGAGGGTAGGTACGTAGCTCGACCGGTAAATTAGGAGCTTCCAGCTCAGCTCTGTTCACATCACTGCAGATGCAGCACCAATCTGCTCAATCTTCCCCTCACTCATGAACAAGACCCCTCCACTTGAGGCAGGACCTCGTCCAGGACCTGGAGAAGGCATTCTACCCTTTTCTGACTCAAGACCATACACCATAAATACACATTTTCCCCAAAACAAACTGAAATTCTCAGTTATTTAAGTGACTGCCGTGTCTAGCCACCAACCAGACAGAACAAATCTCTTTTTTCAAAATCAGGTCCATCTGTCACTGAAAAAAAGCTGCTTTATTTGTCACAAATAGCTAATTTCATTAAAAACAATTCTGCCAACAAAGTCAGTGCCCAGTTTGTGTCTTCTTGTAATAGCCGATCACTTTACTGTGATCCTTTTCTCTTTTGCACCTTCCTATAATTCTAAAGCACAGAACTATTTCGAGGCTGTTAATGATGTGTTTTGTAAGATAAGGCAGCAGTTACCATAGACCAGCTGAGAGGAATTTATCTGCACCTGTTCTCACTTTCAGCTGCGACTCTCATGTCTGATTTGAAGAATCTACAAACTTTAGTGGATTAACACATTTAAAGCTCAGGTTGGATAACTTAATACTGATTTTTTTTGTTTTTGTCCTTCACTGAATAATTCACCTTATGTATAGTTTTATTTTCCAGAGGTGATGAGACAGCCAAGTGCAAAAAGTAAATGGTCAACGTTGAGCAGAAACAACAGTGAGGAACATTAGCACCTGTTTGTGGTCCGGACTGCAAGGTTAAAGGCTATGTGAAAACAACACTGACAAGGCTAACAACTGCAGGGCTGGAGCAAGGACCATACACGAGTTCCCATGATCTCCCTCCCTCCTCCAAGTCCACCCCCACCCCTGTTGTTTCAACTTATTCTCACACCCTAGGCGTCGGAAACAAACGCTTGGTCACTCACTTTCTGCGTCAGATACCAATGCCGAAAGTGCCCCTTTTCGTGTATATGTGACAAAAAGGGGGTCTCCGTTGATTCTAACGCAAATCCCGATGCAGCGACAGAGTGACGAGTTGGGACGTTCGCTTGCGCTGCAATGAACACGCACATTTCCCCATCGTTTGGATAACATCTGTGGAGCCACATTTAAACATGGACTTTGCGGCAGCTTATGCTTGCATTATATGAACTGTGTGGACTTCTGAACGTGACTAAGTGTGACAGAGTGAGTGTCCTGTCACAGTGGCCCGATTGATCATGCGCCCTGGCTTCTTGGCCAAGGAGATGTCCCTTTGGCTGACTGGTTAGCGCACGTGACTCACACCCGGGAGTCTGGGGATCGAATCCCGCCCGGACCCTCGTTTCTCCACCTTGCCACGTTTGGCATTGTTGGCAGGATGTGGCAAGGTGGAGAGGCGAGTGCCCGGGCGGGATTTGGTCCCCAGACTCCCAGGTGTGAGTCACGCGCGCTAACCAGTCAGCCATAGGGACATCCCCTTGGCCAAGAAGCCAGGGCGCATGATCAACCGGGTCACTGTGACAGGACGCTCACACTGTCACATAAGTCATCTCGATTTATTTACAATACAGTTAGAAAACACCGGCATGCTTATTTAACTGCTCGAGACAACACTTTTCATTCATTTGTCTGTAGTAAGCCGTGTTTATTACTTCTTTGTTGCGTTATGGCAAACATAACAAACTGCGTTTCCCACAATCCTCGGCTGTGGACAGAAAACGAGCATCTTTAGCCGTGTTCGAGATGAGCTGCGCCTCGCCTGGAAAACAGGCAAGAGCAGACGGAAGCAGCAGGGGGAGTGGATGAAAGCCGGCGTTTATACGTCGGACAGATTTCCCTACATGTGTAGCTCGGGGGTGACGATGGCTGAAGATATCCCGTTAGAGTCGGTTAGAGTTCATACTTGTTTAATTATTTGTTTTAATTCTGCTGCCTGTTAGCAGCTGAAACACATCCTCACGTGCTTGTGGATATCATATATTGTATATGGAGACCTGACTGTAATAACAAGTAAAGGTTATCAGCTGTAGGTTTAGTGTGCTCATAGGAAACGTGACAAAAGAACACCAAACACATTTCTCTTTATGGCCTATATAGTTGTCATCATCAACGTAACATGATTTACAGAATACATGTGACCAACTAGCATTTCATGTTCTACCACCGGATGTTTGGATCAAAATATGAACCAATCAGATCTTAAATCAGCTGAGAGCCAGGCGTTTCCCGTCATCCTCTAGGTTTTGCAGCCGGTGGAGAGCAACTGCAGCGCCTTGATCTCACGAGGTTATCGTTGCCTACGTATGCATGACGTCAGAGCAAGTCGGCGTCAAGTCAGACACAAATTAACCGGCATGCACTGCGCGCCGATCACCGCTGGTCTAATCTGCGCAGAACTGGCTCATCTCGAACACAGCCTTTTTT